TCATCGCTGCACCGCAGTAAACGTTTAAAAGCAAAATATCCCCACGCATGTTGCTGGAAATGAACATGTCCTCGAGCCATGTCCAAAATACCATCTTTCTCCAGACTCTGTGATACGACAACTGAACACGGCGTTGGTCCGAGGACAAATTTCCCTCAACCGAGGGTGGCTCAGTCAACAAGGAAAAACCGCATCATACGTTTCCTGTTGTTGTTGTAGTTTGGATATCAATAACAGTTTTACCCGTTAAAATTATCAACCTAAAGAATGATCATTCTCACGTGAAAACGAACTAAAAATCTTGAAATTAAATTTCAGTTAATTTGACAGAGCCACCCTCGGTCGAGGGAAATTTGACCTCAGACCAACGCCGTGTCCAGCTGTCTGGAGAAAGAAGCAGGGGCTTAGCGACCATATACGCACGTTTGCACGTGCGTACCTCAAAAATCTAACACTATATATTTTTTATTTTATTTATTTATTTATTTATTTATTTGACTTATTTATTTATTTATTTAGAGGCTTTTTGGCGAAAAGAGACCCTTACACCTGCGAGAGTTTTCTCTTGCATTGCTGCTATTTTACAAAATGTAAACTTTGCGAATATTGTACTATTCATTTTAATATGCATGAGTTCAAACCCTGTCATCACAACCACAGTAACAAAATGAAAAGGAAAAAATAAAATTGACCGACATCCACGAATGGCAATTCAAAGACTTAACCTTTTGACCCATTGAAGTCATTCTCTTTCTTTTTCTGAGAGGTCCACAAAAGGAGTATTTTACCCGATTTGACGGCAGCTTGAAACGCAGTCACTTCGGGTCAGAACTTTAATATGAGTTCATGAAGTTTTAAGTCAGTCTGTTCAGTTGACATTTGAGTGGTACATGAATTAAATGTCCTACAGATCAATGAGCGACTTCTTTAGCCGGAGTATGATTAACAAGGTCAATAAAGCGGATCGAAGCAACAGAAGGTAAGTACCTATTTGAAATTTAATCAAATGATATTAAAAAGGTTTTTTAGCCTTCTAGAGTTCTCTATTTACAAGAACTGGACGTGATTTTTCGTTGCTGTTTTTGCTTTAAGAAAAAAAGTTATGAAATAAAGAAAGAGAAAAAACACAACTCTGGTCGACCGGACAGTTGAGCACCCAAGCCCCCAGTTCTATCCAGGGATATGTGTCGCTCTTGTCACTTTGCTAACCTATCCTGTGTCAACCTGCGCTGCCGAACGCAGTTTTAGCGGCATGATGAGACTGAAAAACCCCTCATCGAAGCACTATGAGTGAGGAGAGGCTGTCCTCTTTGGCAATAGTCCATATTCACAAGCACAAATTGATGTAGTTTCCGAATTTTTCCGTCGTGAAGGGAGAAGCCTCGCCCTTTTCCTGTAGCCAAATTTACAGTTTATAAATACACTATCAATGTACACATACATCAGTAGTACCCAGGTAGGTTGACAAATAAACAACAAAGTTACTGAATAGTTAGCGTTTTTTCATACTTTGATCGATTTATGAAAGTTACGACCCTGGAAATCAAGGGAAATGAAATTTCCGAGGCCCTAAAAATAAACATAGGCACGTTCAACGTGCATGAGCTATTTTGAATGCTTCAGTGTAACTATAATACTTCGGTGTAACCTTACCAAGAGTGATGAATCTACCTTTTTCATCCTAAATGTAGATTTGGTTTTTGTGCGAAATTGGGTATTGCGCTACATAAATGAAAACGCGAAACGCTCAGCTGAGTCGATCCTCAACCTATGTATTCACTTTCCTCTGTCTTTCCCAGTTACATCTGGTGCAAGTTAAACAAATTGCTAGAGTAAAATAAATTTCTACTCACCAAACGTTGATTAGAAGGAAAACTCTAAGGTTTCCTCGGAGTTTCTTAAGCCAAAATGTGACTCACCGAATACTGAATAGTTACGAAATACCACGATTTTTATCATTGAGGTAGATGGTTGCGTCATCATAATTCACGAGGTTTTCACGTGCGATTCTACTCAGTGAAACAGTCTTTAACTCCGCAACTTATTTCTTCATGTTTTAAAAGCTATTGCTTCTTAAAAGGCAAGAGCCTTTTTTAAGGCATTGGTTACAAAACGAAACAGGTCTTCATACGTCCAAGTTACTATTTATCATTGTGAAAAGCCAATCTGCATGAGATGTACAGTCACACAGCTGGCACGTGAAAGTGTTGGACTTTGTCCCCTTTCGTGGTTCGTACGTGAGGGAATTCGATTTATCACACAATAAACTAGTAAACAGAATTATAAAAATAACTCTTGCACACAATTTGCACGTGAAGATGTTGGTCTTTGGCCCTTTTACAATTCGTACGTTAGAAAAAAGGCAAATTGTTTACTACAAAATTTTCTCAAGTGATTTTAAGAAATCACCTCGGCTTCATTACAACATCTGCAATTAAATTATGTTTCATGCAACGTCAAGGTTGATAACCTAACATTTATTAACATTTGTGAGACAGTCTTTAACTCCGACAACTTATTTCTTCATGTTTTAAAAGCTATTGCTTCTTAAAAGACAAGAGCCTTTTTTACGGCATTGGTTACTAAACGAAACAGGTCTATATAGAGTGTTTTCACATGACGTCACGTCGGCCATATTGGTGTCCCAAAACAATGAAACGGCGGCCATGTTGGTGTCCCAAACCAGTCCTGTGGGAGTTGAACTCTTTTCTTATGCAAATGATTTCTTTTGTTCCAAAACATTTGCATAAATGCTGGCCACGTGGGTGAAAACACTCTATACGTTCAAGTCACTATTACTATTGTGAAAAGCCAATCTGCATGAGATGTACAGTCACACAGATGGCACGTGAAAGTGTTGGACTTTGCCCCCTTCCGTGGTTCGTACGTGAGGGAATTCGAGTTATCACACAGTAATCGAGTAAACAGAATTATAAAAATAACTCATGCACACGATTTGCATCTGAAGATGTTGGTCTTTGGCCCTTTTACAATTCGTACTTAAAAAAACGCAAATTGTTTACTACAAAATTTTCTCAAGCGATTTTAAGAAATCACCTCGGCCTTATTACAACATCTGCAATTAAATTATGTTTCATGCAACGTCAAGGTTGATAGCCTAACATTTATTCAAACTGCCGAAATATATTTCTGCTCATATCATGTTACTCCACTCAATAAAGCAGTACCTAATTATTGTGTCAACTAGCTTCTTCCAATTTTATTCCCTAACGCTACTGTTTCTACTTAAGTTTATACGCATCTTTACTAAATAAAATACGTTTCAATAACTATAATGCTTAGTATGCAGGAAGGATGTATCATGTTGTTCACTTATTATTCCTTTTTGTTGTTGTTTTGCCGGAACGAAAAAGGTCTGTTGAACTTTGTAAGCGAGAGAATAATATTTCTACAGCTTGTTTACAGGAAAAACAATACTCGGTACAGCTTTTAAAAAAATAAGCTGCTTTTCAAACTTCTAAAACCACATTTTAT